ATTACTATCGGTTTCAGCTTCTTTATGGTTTGTTTCGGCGTGAATAGTGACGAAGCTGTTTGTAAACATTTGTAGTTAATTGCGAGTTTAGGCTACTGATTCCAGTCGTATCTGAATAAGGTGAAAAGCAAATTAATGAATAAATGGAATGATCGATTAAGACAAATGATCTTACGAGTATGCACCAATTTAGCCGTCGCGTTCGGGAACAACCGCTGTACTTAAAGTTCAGTGTCGTTGAACTTTGAACGATGTCTGACTGGTTTGACAATCAAGCTGAAGAGTCAGAACATGATGATGAGGAAATGCCAGCTAAAAAGAAGGTTCGCATAGAGAGCGACGAGGAAGAGGAAGAGGAGGAAGAAGGTTTGCACTGTCACCCGTTGGTGTAATATTTACTTTTTGCGCTAATTTGTGTAGACGATTCGGCAATAGCTGAAGAAATGAAGGACTTCGTTGTAATTGGTGACGAGGAAGAGGAACAAGGGGAAGAAACTGGCGAAGAAGAGAAAAGTATGTGTTTCTTTTGAATCATTTTGTTGTAGACGCGCGCTTATAGAATCGGAAACTGAGGAGGAAGCAGATAGTGATTTGGAGGAAGATGAAGAAGAACTATTAAAAGAAAATCTGGGAATCTCTTTAAAGGTACGCTGTTTGATGTTGTTTCCCTTGTTCCGTCCGTTACAGCTGGATTAAAGGCTCTTTCTCGCTGTACCCAAAAAATTTGCTGCGCAATGTGCTCTTTTCTGACTTTAAATCTTCTGCGGGCATCAGTATGCCGTCTATGTTGAGGACCTTAAATGATAATGATGCAGCTGCACGTCACAGAGTTTTGATTTATCGTACTTTCTGGTTTATAGAAGAAAGTGAGGCGTGTGGCGATTGGCTCTGACAGCGAAGGTTCCGAACAGGAGGAGCAGGACGCACAGAGAAGATTGGAACGCGAGTTGTTCGAAGGCGATGACGTGACAAAACTTTGCTCGTTATCCAGTTTTTCTCACCTATTTGTATGTCATATTGTAGGACGCTGAAGCAAGTCGTCCTGTCGAAAAGGAACTGCAAACATACGAAAGGGAGGAGCCAAGCAGCTCAGCCGAAGAGTCCGGTACGCAGAATTTAAAAGACACATCATCTCTTCACAACTAATTAAATTTGTTGATTCCAGAGTTAGACGATTTCATCGAAGATGACGAAGAAGGCCTCCGGCAGAAGAAGGGTCGCCCAAAACAGCGGCACAGGAATATCTTTGTTTCCGACAGGTTGATGAGCCCTGAGCGTTTCGTAGCCTCTGTATAATTGTCTTGCGTCATTTTGTAGCGTGTTGGAAGAGGCAAGGGATATTTTTGGTGTCGACATCGACTTTGACGAATTCATCGGCGACAACGAGCAGGAAGTGGAAGCCGAAGAGGATGACGAAGTCGAGGTACGGCAGTTTCAGATTGTTCATTTAATCTAGTTTTGTTATTTTCCTTATGATTTTTTGCTTGTCATGGCAGGTAAAGCTCTCCGTTTCGCTCTTATAAATAGGTAACTAATGTTTTTGCAAATTTTACAGATTTTCTTGTGTTTTCTGTAGGTTAGTAATTTTGCGTACTTGTAGATTTGATAAGTGATCAGTCGAAATTATCGCTTTCAAATGCAATAAAAACGGTATATACTACAAGACATTGCTGAAGGCCTACCTTTAAAGTTAT